AAGTAGCCAGACTGATCTGCGAGTAAAACCTTGAAAGCTTGCGAGATCAGGATGGTCTCATGAGGCTAGCAGAGAGGAGGCTGTTGCGATCGAACCAGGTACTTGCAACCTTCTCATTGCACAAGCACACTGCTTTAACCCTAGGCCAGCCCTCTCCCAAGTAATAAGAAGTAATGTTAACAGTTTTCATAAAACCATATAAGCGGCACTGCACATATGTGCAAGAGTCTGCTATATAGAGACCAAACGTTTTTGCCCTTTTGGAAAATGCTATTTCAGCCAAAACAGGAACAATGCAGAACACCCTGGACACCCCATCTCTGGCATAAAACATGTAAGAAGCATCATTCTTTGCCTTTATCCTGGTTCTCATTTAAGAAGGAAGTGGAAGCTGGTCAGAGTCAATAGGATGATGAATGGTTGACACAAGCAAGCAGGGAATAGAATGGTTCATTCTTCAACTTAAGGCCAACGTTGGAGTCCAAATTAACCCAACAGTCATGATTTTAGACTGTAGGAGGAAGCTTGAGTCTCCAGAGAGAACCCACACATGCATGGGGAGAAACTGCAAACTTCATAAAGAAAAAACCCTAAACAGGGGATCAAACCTAAGCCCTTCTTGCTGCAAGGCAACGGAACTGCACCACCATGCAACCCTTGGAAGTGTAAGAATGGTTCAGTAAAAGTAACAATAGCAATTGTAGAAGTAAAAGTGTTTTAAGAGATAGAATAATGAACTAAAAACAAAAACTATTATGAACCATAAGTATTTAGGAACATAAATTATGCTCACATTAGAATGAAGTGTGGGGTCATGTGGGTAAATAAAAACAGGGGGAACTGAAAGGAGAGACGGAGAGGAATAAATGTTTGTCCCATGCCAGCTGAGAATGATCAAAACCCTTTTTTCTACAGCTATGTGCTGCAGTGTTACGTTGATGAATAGGGAAAAACAGGAACTGGCAAGACGGGTAGTGGACTGAGCCAAGAGACATCCCGGTTCCCCTCCCTTTTTTTAATTGGTCACGAGGGAGAAATTTACCTGCATGACAATGAGAAGGTCGAAGACCAAAATGAAGGAAGCTAGGAAAGCTCTGGAGACCTCGTCGCTGGGCAGGAAGCCGCGGTTCAGGTTGTCCCAGCTGATCCAGTCGGTGCTGATGACTACGACCACCACAGAGGTCAGAGAGATAAGCACTGTCCTGGAGGGAAGTGGAGAAAAGTTTTTGTGAAGGGAGGGTGGAAAAAAATTAAGTATAGTAAAGAGGGACAGAGGGGAGAGATCTATGAATGAAGCTATGAGAGAAGACGTCTATAGCAAAGGTTAGGCCTTATTAAAAGTGAAATAAACCTAGCAGACTCTTCTAGGATGATATGAACAAAAATAAGCCTGCCAAAACAATGTAAATCAGAGCTACACAGCACACCAATTTCCATGCATTTACATGTTTAACACTGAACTGCTCCTAGTGATTGCCGTTTTTTGCATAAGTCATTCAATATTCACTGTTTGCTGGAAAACATCTTCATTTGTGTGAAGAGAGACTGGCTCTCTTTGTATTAATCTCTGCTGGGTATCTTCTCTCAATGTCACCCAACCAGTATTGTGCTGCTCTGTGCAGTTTTGCACCACATAACGGCTGGTTGCCCTGCAGATACAGGCTGCCAGCTCGTATCCCATTTCAGCAGAGTGGGAGATAAGTTTTAGAGGGAGGTTTTAATATTCCACAGTGGGATTCTTGCTTGCGCAGTAGCCAACCTTTTGGCACTGTTCTCCCCTATCTGCCGCAGCATATCGACAAGCTCCATCCTGCAGAGCATTTATCAGTCACATTTCAAGCTCTGAATCCCAAACGACGGCCTCGTCAAATCCAGCCATCGATTATGACAACACGAGCTCGGGCACTCGTCAATAAATATGAAAAAAGTCGCAGAAGAATTTGTCTGCTTGGAGTCCAAATCATGAGAGAATTGATTTAACGGAAGGAAACGCTGAAGTTTATGGCTGAACTCTTTGATATGTCTGCATATTTAGTATGAAGTGTAACTATCAAAGTTAGTCGGTTAATTCCCTTGCCTTTCAATCACTCTGTGACCTGAGAATGAACCACCGGAAAGTACAGTCACAGGTCATATCTGACTGACAGGGATCACTTCACAGTGAGTGAATGAACACCTCCGGGGCCGTGCAGAAATAGTTACCTACTTTTAAGCAGAGACCAGACCCACAAATCTGTCCTATAACACTCCTATGAGACACAGTTTTCTGCATTTGTTTACAGTTTATTTCCGGGTCACAGCTTGTGTTAGGGCTAAGTAAAAGACAGGTTTGTGGCACACACAGCAACCTTGTGGCATCCATTGATTTTAGCCCTGTTCTTCTAATTAAAGGTGCTGACATTGAGTGAGGCAGATTAACACTGATATTGACTGCACGCAACACTGTGACGGGATGATGAGACCACATAACATGCACACATGCAGGCGTGCAGACACATATCTGCAAGGGTTCATGCAAAAACCTTTGGTCGCCTCAAAAAAGAAGAATTATGTATTATATGAAACCAGGGTGAGCAGACGTACCAGAAAAGGACGATCCGATTATTGCCTCTTTTCCAGAACTTTCTTGCAGCTTTGCCCCAATCCGGGTAGTGTTGATCCTGAAGCATCATATCTGTTACCTTTGGGAAAGTAAAATGAATTACTTAAACCTAAGAGGTAAATGAATAATCATTTCACATCTTTGCAAGATTTTTTTTTATATTCTCCAAGGTTATTTTCTTTGCTTTAACTCTTTTTACCAAGAACCATTTTATTGTCCTCATCAACCATTTGTTTTTGTATTATGTACTTGAATCATTCAGTTCAGCAGAGTTTAAGCAGGTAATAAAACATTTAGCTTTTCAAACCTGAGCAGATGAAACAAGGACGACATTAATGTCTCTGATGTTGCCCTTTTGACACTGTAGAAGTGTTTGCATCACAAACACTAACATCTCTTGAAAGAACTGTTGATCCAGGCTCTATGAATTGACTTTAGCCCCAAATAATACCATTAAAGTAATTTTGTTCAAACCTTTTCCCAAAATTATAAATTTTAAATATGAATAATGAAAGAACAATTCTATCATGAAATTATAAACCTTCAGATGCTCAACCATGGATTATTTGTCTATTAACAAATAATCTGTGGTTATAAAATAAAGGTTTATAAAGGTTTTTGAGTTTACATTTCTCCATCTTCTTGGACTAAATGAGAAAAGATTAAGCTTGCTTTATTTTACATAGTTATTGAATGTGTGCATACTAGTCTGCAGCATGCTTTTATTCCAACTTAATATGACGGAAAAATTAGTAATAAAGATTAACACTTAGTGCTGTGGCTGCCATTTTCCATTCTACGATGATCTTAATTTGTCTGCTTTTATGAAAGTTACACATCAGTGATGTTTTCACCCATGAAGATATTTCAACCTATTTAAATCAACTGCCTCTGCTGGTGGAGTAAATCCAGTTCATACAACAATTTAATGTTGTAGTAATTAAGGTTTCTTCAATGAGCTATTATATTTATGGCTGTTTGCAGGAAGGATCTGGATGCTCAGGGGTGTCCATAATGTGCTTCATTGTAAAATGATCTCCAGATGTTCTAGAGGAGTTATCAGAACAGAACGGGCATTATTTATTAGCTTTTTAAGCTTTTTTAGGTAATTAGCTCTGAATCACCAATAGAAAATGGAAGAAGAGTTCACAATCTGAACAACGAATAAGGACAAGGTTCAACAATTCTGGTCTTTGAGGTCTGGTGTCCTGTACCATTTAGATGTGTCTCTGCTTTAGCAAACCTGAGTAAAATAATCAGGTCATTAGGACTCTGAAGAAGTTGACTGCACACTGAGTTGTAGAAGATATGCAGTATCTGCTGCAAAAACCAAAGTACCCGAGCCTCCTGGAGAAGAACAGTCTGCTCTGTCCCAAATTTGGACTATTCTTGAACTGTGGTCAAAGGAAAACTGCTGGAAATACCAGCCACATGGTTGAAAACCAATGTTTTAAACTGCTACAAACCAATGAACTTCTCAATTAAGCATTAGTTTAAATTATTTTAGTTCTATATTCTCATCACTCATTGAGAAATAAAATCCTACAAACCCAGACAAAGAATAAAGATTTTGCATCTTGTTGTTTTTCCACTGATTGTGATTCCGATCCTATTCTGATTCAGTACACTTTTGAAAATATCAACCACATTACGATGCAACCTAAATTTCTCTAGGTGACCTTCTAATGATAGATACTGTTTACAAAGAGTGTCAATCAATTAATGGATGAGGCAATTCTGGAAAGTTGGAACTTCAGGGCACTTCGTCAACCCTTTCAGTGAACATAGTCTCCTGTGGGGAGGAAACAAAGAGGTCTTGTTCAGAGTTATTTAAAAAAAAAAATACTTGGTGAATAATTTCTGACATCAGCACTTTAGTTGTTGCATAAAATTTGCTGCATTGTACAAAGCGCTGTCTCCCCGAAACACCGACCCCTCCTGTTTGTCCTTTCAGAGCTCCTTTCTACACCCTTCTACCCTTTCACCTGTTTCTTGCTTTTCACTCACTCCTGCACTTTCCCTCCCTCTAAAGTTTGTACTGTGGAATACTAATGCGATGCGTGAGGGAGGTTGGCAGGTTGTCTCAGCTCTGAGCCCCGCTCCTCCCAGCAGACGAGGCCCACTCCCGCTGGAGCTCCCCTCCTCTTTCATGTTGAATAATGAACAGAGGTATGTTCCTCCTGCAGTGTACCCTGTCCCCCCCTTGTGCATCCATTGTTTTTCTTGACCCTCCTCAGGTCTCTGAGCTGCTCAAGGGAGTCGCAGCCTGGACTAAATTGCTGTGGAAGGTTGTTCCGGTGCTATTATTGTGGAAGAGGGGATACATCTTAAAGTTTTCTGTAATATGAAGAAAAGAATAATCCTGTATTGCTCGCTACAGATAGAACAAAAATTTCATAGACACAAATATTTTTTTTTTTGTATTAAAAACTTAAAGGAAAAAGTGTGATTCACTTTTTATTTCTTTGGTCGTTTTAGTTTAAATTAGCCAGTTCCTTACCTGCAGCAGAAGGTTTCATAAAACTGAGCATGCAAGAATAAGAGGGTCTCATTCTGTAATAATGGTCCAAATTGGTTTAATTTAAATGCAACAGTATCTAACGTAGAAATTCCAGTTACATAGATTGATAGTACCCAGCAGAAAACTGATTTCAGATTGAATATGAATGTCGTTGTTGTGTTCACAATAAACCAATTTTCAGCCTAACCCTTCAAAACCAGTGACTTGCCAGAAGGAATCCTGTACAATTCGGTTCCGATCAGTCAACTGTTTGGAAATAAAATATCTTTATACTATATCTACACTACTATGTGAATGTGAAGAATGGTGAGAAAATGTTATTAGCTTGCCATGCTAACTAGAGATGCATTGGGATATCATCTAGGGCAGACGTCTTAAAACCTGATCCTCATTGCTCGTTGCCGTGCTTTTTCTAGATCTGTCTCCCCTTCACTACATCTTAATCAAATGATTGCATTTCCTCCCCAGCAGCTGCCAAGGGCTGTACAGGCTAGTTAATCACCCACTAATTAAAGTCAGGTATGTGGAGGTAGAGGAACACCTAAAACTATGGGATAGTGGGACCTGAAGACCAGAGTTGAAGACCTCATTTCTGGGGAACGAAATCTACAATTCTGTATCTTAATGGGCTGTAAATGGAGCAATTAAACTTAAAGTCTTAAGTTTATTCATCATCCATCATACCATACCTAAACACCAACAGGTCTCCCAAACAATACCTCTGTTATGATCTTGGAGCTAATGATTGGCTTTATTACTCATTCCATTCACCTGTCTAACTCTGCCCGGTTTCTTATCACTGCTCATCTGATCCACCTGCTCCTGACTCTATTTAAAGACCATGTCACACCTTGCCAATTTAGACAGCGTATGCCTGGCGCTGAACTTTCTATGTATTTTTTTTTTTTCCAACTTTGGGCATATACATAGCATATCCAACGACAGCCTAACTTATGCATAACGCATGGCAACCTAATGCCCATAAAGTTCTATCAGATATTTAATCTTTATTTTTAATAAATCTTCTTTTAACACTGATTTGGTGGGATAAAGGTTATAAAGAGAAATTTAAATTAGTCCCAATGGGTGTCAGCTGGCTGCGATGGACTGGCGACCTGTCCAGGGTATATACCCTGCCTCCCATCCATAAACAGCTGAAAATAGGCAACAGCACCCCTCACGACCCCACTTTGAATAAGCGGGATGGATGGATGGATGGATGGATGGATGGATGGATGGATGGATGGATGGATGGATGGATGGATGGATGGATGGATGTTGTGAATTTGCAAAACGAAACCCTAAATCTATAAAAAACTATGATAGGTGGATTCCTGATACCGACCGTAGTAAACTGTAGAAATTCCACAAATTTTTCATCTTGGAACGGGAAGATGCTCAAATTGATGTCATGTCATTTTAATTTATGGACTCCAAGCTAACCAGACCAGTTCCTTAAAAACATTTTTAGACAACAAACAACAGCTCAACAATTCCATATTAAAATCTTACCTATATTGTTCAGTTCACAAAGCTTTTTCATTTAAAGAATAACTGCCTCATTTCAACATAGATGATAAAATCTGTCAGATGAACTGAGATTGATCCATCACTTGATATAATTAAAAGCTTATTTTCAATGTGTGAGGTTTATTTTTTATCAGAACTAACGCTTAAAAAGGTTTATCAAAACAGCAATGTTAAAGGAAAGAAGATTGCTATGGATTTGAGGGATACAGTCTGACTAAAACATCTCTCAGTTTTCCATTATCCTTTTCTTTCTCTGCTCCATCTTATTCTCTCTGCCTATCAGCAATTATCCTGTAAATTCTTTCTCATACTAATATCCTTCATCTACCCAGATAAAAATACAACTTATCTCTCATGTTGTTGTCACTCAGCTTTTGGAGCTGTTTTATATGGCTGACCAGCTGTTAGAATTCCTCTGGTATGACATTAAGTAAACCTTTCACAAACTCAGTCACAATCATAGTAAAAAAAAAGAAAAGCTGACAGAATATCAGATCTTTTTTTTTCAAAGGATCAGATTGTATTTGCTTCCAAAATGATTCAAATCACACATCTCATTGTTTCATTAAAATAATAAAGCCAACATGAAAAACACAGGAAGGTCTCTGAAAAAAGTACAAATAAAAATTCCTAGATGCATAAAATCTATAAAAAAACTCTGTTTTTTAAAGAAGGGGGGCTTCTATTTAACTAAGGGTAAAAACCTCTTTCTACTGCAGGCAAGACTCTAACTACTGATTGATGTGTTATTCTGCTAACCCTATATCAAATCAGCATTAATTCAAATTCATTTTGTAAATTTTCTTGGAATGTTTTGTCATTTTTTAATTTAACGCTGCAGTAATCACATAATGTTACCATATATATGTTGAATGTAGCTCTTTTTTTGCTCGGTTAAACTGATCTTTTCCTGTGAAGAGGCTAAATGTTTTTGTTTTTTTTTGTCTGTACATGTCGAAAGAAAGAACAAAAGCACTGATTAGGGTCTCAACATACAGTACACCCGACTGTCTGACTGTCTGCCCCCACTACCTTGCCTGCAACCAATCTAAAGTAAGTCACCATTCTGCATGATTTATGTTCTCTAAAGTGGTCAGATTGGTCTATTTATTTGAGTAGTTTATTTGAGAAGCATGCTTTTGCATTATGGAGCCCACAGGACACATTAATCTCAAATTACCAGCCTTAAACAAAGTAACTGGTTCAGTAAAATCGGATAAAATGGAATGTGATGGAATAGATGAATTATAATAAAGAAAAAATGCATGGTTGTTTATCTTACACATGGTGGGAAGTGTATATTATGTATTTTATTGCTTCTATTTTAGTATATGAAGAACTTTCCATTCATTTCAGTGACAAAAACCCCTGAGAGCAGGACTGCCAGTGATGCACAGAGGGAATATTAATGGTAGAAGGGGCCATGTTAAGTCAATAATAGACTTAGGACCACATTGTAGAGTTCTGATTCATTATTGAAATAAACTGTCAAGGGCCTATAGAATACCATACCCTAATAACAACTCTTACACACACATTTAGCAAATTGTAAATCGACTTTATTGTCAGTTTTATTGTTCTTAAAGCACTCTTAAACGAGAGACACGTTAGGTTCCCTGTCCAAGAAGCACATCTATTTGTGAGAGAGTAGAGAGCTCACATTAAGCTCACAGCATTCCGTTTGCAAGACAGTAACTTTCCCAGTTGCCCCTGTTAATACATCAAACAAAAGTAGTACAATTGGTCGAATCTCTGCTAAGACCATTTGCTGGGAACTACATGAGCAATGCTGAGGCCACATCTGTTGCTCTTCCTGAAGCAGTTCTCATTTAGCCATTTTTCTTCAGAAGACTTCTTAGATTTATTGGATGGTTGCATCATAGTTAAGGGTTTCCTTATCATTTCCTTCAGACAAATTTCTCTGTGATCACAGTCGAGCTGTAAAAGTTGCTTCCCCATTTTGAAAAACATATTAGTATAATTGTCCTTTTCTAATTTATTTTACAGCTTTGAATGAGAAATTAGATCTCACTTTCTAAAGATACTCAGTATAAATCATATCGAGAATTAGGAAATTATCTAAAACATTAAGCTAGGTTTAGAAAAAAAGAAAGTAGAAAAAGTACAACAAATTATAAACATCGAGCAGTTTTTATAATATTCAGTATTCGTACACAAACTTCTGTTTGTAACAATATTTTCTGATTAGCTGAAACAAATCTCTGCACAACATTAATTCATGACTGGTAAATTTGTGCTCAGTATTTTTTTTAGACTACAAAGTTTTTACATGGTTACATTCTTATTTATCTTCATTAAGCCTGATATATCATTCAGTTGTCAGGCTCATCTTCGGTGGAACCAGGAAGTTCTAATCTGTGAGTTAGTTTTTCCTCTGCACTGTCACTGCATGCATGCTTGCTTGATATGAGGAAGTGCTGCAGTCAATAACATGATGAAAGTGAATGTCCGCTGCCACATGTTCCTCCAGGAGGAGTGAATCCTGCAAAGTCAGTGATTCGATGCAATCAGCTTAGTTCCCTAAGTTATAAAACTTTTAACCAGTGTGTCTGTGTGATTTCATTTTCCGAGTTAAGGGCCTTGAGATGAGTGTTTGGTGGGAATTGGTATAAACTAAACTGAATTAATTTCAATCTGCATGGTGAAAGACAAAATGCAACTATTTCAAAATGTAATGCCATTTAAAAGTGCATAATTTCAACCAGTTGAAAAAGGTCCTGCTTACCAGATCAAGTAAATATATGATTAGAACAAATTTTCTGCTAAATCTGTGTAGTTTCAAGTTTATAGAAGTAAAATTTTGTTTATTACTAACAACTGTATCTTTTTCTTACCATCCAAGCTGTCACAAAATCTCCCATCCATGTCCCCACTGCAGCAATCTTCATAAAGCTCTCATTCCTGATGCCCATGTAGTCTGTCACCATGTGGGGCCTGTGAGCACAAAAAAAGAATATTCTTGAAAAAATAAATAAAAAAAAACACAGTAAAAGCTCTGTTTCTTTTGAGTTAAAGAATACGGTAAAAGCACCATCACAGAAAATGAGAACAGAAAAAATGGGTCTCTGCCACTGAGTATCATGATGCTGGTCATGATGGTCAATCAATATAAACCTAATCCTTGAGAAAATAAATGAGTGCTGGCTATGGCTTTCACAAAGCCCCCAGGTTTGTAAACAATTTACTTCAGTGTGGAGGAATTTATGTTCTACTCTCATTCCTTATTGGGCCTTTGGCAAATTATACATTTGTTTGGTAAATTTGTCTGATGTCTGCTTTGTTTTAGATCAACGCTGCCACACCAGTGACATCCCGTTAAAGCAGCAGATCTGACAGAGCCGAGTTAATATCTGCACTTGTGCATATGTACAAACCCACACTGGGTCAAAAAGCACCATTAGAGAAATCACCTCCCATCTGATAGGAAAATGACATGCCTTATTTGGAGTCCCAGCTACTCCTTCCTCGCTGTACAGTTTGAGAAGATGAGATGCTTTTGTTCAGTTGGAGAAAAACCCACCCACCCAATGCACACATCCCACGCTACATCCCTCCATTTTCTCCAGGTAATTGCTTGGTGGGGAGGGAGGAAAAGTGGGTCAGTCGCCTTTTCTATATGGAACTTGCCAGGGAGAGAAGGAGAACAGAGGGGGAGTGACGAGGCCTGTTTGATCTCTTGGCAGCCAGTGTCTTAGAAGCTGAAGGAGAGCAGGTGGGCACCCATCGACCAACCCCACCCCCCCTCCTCGACAGTTCAGCCTCGTGAATATAATAGACGACGATGGATGGAGGCTTGCAAAGCGCTTTCAAGGGGTCATATTTGAAGTCAATGGCTCCATTTATCTTAGTTTTTCCAGGTCATTTTGTGGCCGCCAGTGAACACTGAAATCATTCCTTATTGCACTCAAAGCTTTGGAAAATCTTAGCTACAATCAGATCTTATCTCCAGAGCGTATGCTTCAATATGGTGGTTATTCTTTTCCATTTCATTTCTAGTCTGATGTTTTCTTTCTTATTCCAGATGCTGTGACACATATATGCACATATTTACTGATGGAGATGGATGATTAAGACAAATGATGTTTTGTTAATGCTAGTAGTGCATTGTGCAAGTGTTGATCATGACACAGGCTCATATTGTTACAATAGAACAATATAAGCAATACTAACATGATTGTAATGCGAGACTGCAGTCCTTGCTGGCTTTAAATAGCAAGAATTTTCATATTCATTCTCGTCATCTTCCATTTATCCACAACCTGCTTTCAGGGGCATCAGTCTTAGCAGAGATGCCCAGACTTCCTTCTTCCCAGGCATCTCCTCCAGCTCCTCTGAATGAAGCCCAAGGTGCTCGACGGGCCAGCCAAGGGACACCCCCTAGTCAGTCCTGGGCCATTTCCTGGGCCTTCTCCTGGTGGGACATGCCTGAAACATTTCCTGAGGGAAACGTCCAGGGGGCATCACAACAGATGTCCGAGCAACCTCTGCTGACTTCTCACAGCGTGGAGGAAAATCCTTTCTACTATGAGCTTCTCCCAGATGGCCAAGCCTCTTACTCTATCTCATAGAAAGCCCATAGCCAACCTGTAGAGGAAGCTCATTTCAGTTGCTTGTCACAACCCAGATTAACAGATTAGCATAGAAACATAGGAACATTTAAAAAAGAATAAAAATAAAAGTTTTGCCAGTTCAGTTAGACCAGAACAGTGTCAACATTACAGCAGCAACCAGAAAATCTATCTGCTTGAGGTGGGCGGATCGATCCTACTATCGATAATATTAATACTAAAACTGGTATCGATATTGAACAATAATCGTTCAAAAACATCAATACTTATTTTTTTCTATTCAGCAAGCATTGACTGCAGCAGATTCACAACAGTTTCCCTGTCTGTGTCACAGCCCTTTGCTGTTCCCCTTTCCTCCATGGTCAACAGGTTCATGATACATCAAGCTTAAAACATATTGGTATCAACAATACTGACCCTGTATTTACTAGGGATGGAACGGTTTATGAAAACCGTCCGAACCGTTCGGTTCGACTGTCTCATTTCGGTTCGCGTGTGTTTCGTTCGGTGCATGAGCTGCTCCTTTTTCTCATAGGCGAAGCGTTTACACTCCAGAGCAGAAGGTGGCGGTTCTGCGACCAAAGCCAACCACCAGTAGTAAATAAGAAGAAGAAGAAGCGAAGCAGCGTAGCCGGGTGTAGCTGAAAAAAATCAGTTGTTGTGGAGAATTGTGTGGGTATGGCGAGTGGGAAAGAACAGGAGTTGGAAGACGCGCCAGCAGCACTTTATAGGTCTGCTGTATGGGACCACTTTGCATTTAGAGTGACCTACGATGACGGCGGAAAGAAAGTTGTGGATAAAAGTGCAACAGTGTGCAAGCATTGTGCAACACATTTTGTTTATGCTAACAGCAACACGACCACCATGTCAGGCTAACAATCAACATATACCGAACCGAACCGAAAACCGTGACCACGAAACCGTGAAACTGAACCGTGGATTTTGTGAACCGTTCCAGCCCTAGTATTTACTTATTATCAGATCCCACTATAGCCAACCTCTATATCTCTAGCTTAATTCTCTCTTCACATTTCACTAGGACCAAGAGGACGTGAACTTTTCCAGTTGAGGAAAAAACTCCCCTTTTGATCTGAAGACAGCAGGGCACCTTGTGAGAACAATGAACTAGGAATTGGATGAGCTCATTTTAATTCCACTTAATTCATACAAACCACCCGAGCATCTGCTTTAGGTCTTGACTGGAGAGAGCCAGTAAAAAAACATCATCCACAAAGGCTTTGACTGCATCTATAAAATCCTTTCCATTAGGTTCATGAAAACTACTGATGACAGAAAGCACCCCTGCCAGAGTCCAACATTCCCCGAGAACAGATTCAACTTAATCCTAATTATGCAGATCAGACTGCTGCTCTATTGGCGCATAGGCCCAAACAACCCCCAATTCATTGCATTAATTGTCCATTACATTAAAAATGACAGCTATTGTATTAATTACATATAGTAAATTATTTTGATAAGAATAAACAAAGTAGTGCAAAGTAGTGAGATAAATGGAAAAGAGGTCCTGTTAAAGGTAGACCCTTCACCTCAGTCTTAAATAGTTTTTTTCTTCCAAGACTGGCTTGTTTTTAGCTCAACTCACCTTTTAACCTTAAATGTTTGTGTGCAGTGCATTGTTTGCTTTACACTACAAATATATATTTTTTGTTCGTCAAAAATTTAAAGATTGCTTTCAGTTGACCGGAACAAATTCTTTCCAGGTCACCACATTTGGTGACCGTTGTCCCAAGACATACAGCATGGCTTTTTGCAAACTGCAAATGGTTTACTTGACATCTCCTTACTCTTACAATAAACAGTGGATTTAAAGAGTGCACCAGTAAAATGATCCAGTTAACTGACTTTCCACCAGAGCTCTGGTTCTGTGCAGCTCAATTACTCACACGTGGACTCCATTTTCTAGTTAGGGGATTCTTAAAAACAGTTACCTAGACTGTTTTCTCTCGAGGAAACAGGGCAAAGAAGTGTATGAATGCAAATTTATACCTCTTATTGGAGAACATGGAGAAGCAGCATTTAGTTCCTATGCTCCACTTATCTGGAATAAACTTCCAGAAAACTGTAAAAGTGCGGAAAGCCTGAGTTCCTTTAAATCAAGACTAAAAACACATTTGTTTAGGATTGCCTTCGACTGTTCTAGTCAAACAGTTCAACTGAAACATCATTAGTTCAACTCTTTCAGTTTCTTTAGTCCAACTGTTTTTAATATTCTTTTTTGTTTCTGCATTTTTTATTTTATTTTTTTTCCTACTTGCTTTGATTCTGTTTTATTTTCCTATATTGTAAAGCACTTTGCATTGTCTTTGTACTGAATTGTGCTATACAAATAAATTTGCCTTGCCTTGCCTTGCCTTTTTGGGTGCCCAGAGTGGTTAGTTTTGGTTAAGTATGTAGTGCTTAATGCACTTGACAGGCTTTAATTCACTGAGCTACAGCTCAGTACTGTATTTTGTGGAGATCAGAATTATCATTCCCTCATTCCTACCAAAATAGCATTAAAAAAATACACATGCATAAAAACTATAAAAGTTATTTATTTTTGAAAAAAACATGCAAAATTTTCCTCTTTTGCTATAATTTTCTGCTTTGTGTTCTTCTACTTCATAAAGCCTCAACAGAAGACAGTGTTTGTGCAAGAGGACAGAGTTCAGTGACTTAATATTATTGCATGGCATTGCATTGGTTATATTTAAAAATAATAATATCATTAAATAGGATCATATAGACAAAATTGAGCAATTACATCCATTAATGTGCCAATAGTGACCCAAACTGATCCCTACTGTTCACCTGAAATGTGGAAGAAAGTCCTCTGAAAAAACTCCTGTCAAAGAATAAATCAGATGTAATTTCGTAACATATATTTAAGGGTATTTGACGGAATCTTATCGACCAAAATCTGCGGCTCTGTGGCTGAGATATCACTTCTGTTAAGCAAAAAAATAAAACAGCCTTGATTGGAATAGCGATTTATATCTGCATTAAGTCCGTTAGACACACAGTGGTTGGCTCCACTCCAGTTTCCAAGGAGATCCCGTTGGGAGTCATTTACCCGCAGCAAAATTTGAATCGATACTTCTGAAAATGCTGTCTGGCACCACACACAAGGGGCTTTAAATCTTAAAATAAAAAATAGAAACAACCCAGCTGCCCTTCTCACATGTTTAATTGAGCAAATGTTACTCCAGAATTCAGAGAAAGGCTTTAATATCATTTTTCTGCTTTTCAGTGCATCAACGATGAGTTTGCCGGCTCTTCTTACTGCATGATCAGAGGTGGAGCACTCTGACTTATTCATGCTGACTGAAAATTTAATGGCATTTAGAGCTGGATGACTTAATAAGA